CACTTAGGGAGATGAGACCAAGCGGTATGACAAGGCAACCGCTTAGTGTGACACCACTTAGAAATGCAGAGAAGGCCCCTCTGAGGTTCCAAGGCAAGGCACCGGGGGACGTGCTGTTTAGAGATTCACGCAGCACTGGAGCAGGGAGAATGTGGACGTCACTCGCGTCCTGCATGGAAGGAGAAGCTGAGTTCGCAAAGGCTGTGGACTTGGGAGTGGTCTCGCAGTGAGCAGCTCGGTGGGAACCCCATGCTCCTGCCTGATGCTTAAGGGGCACCCGAGGTGCGGTTTTTCCACAGGGCAGATGGGGAGACAGCCCCACAGCACGCGCAAAGGGGTACAGGACAGGTGTGGGGGTGTGTTTGTTAGAGGTGGCTTTTAGTGCCCAGAATTGTCCGTTTGTAAGGGTGGGTCATGTTGGAGAATACGGGAAGAAGGGAAAAGATCACGTAGCTGTGATGGATGGACCTGGAAGTCCAGGGTGTGGGTCTGGACTTGATTCCATAAACCTGGGTGTGAGTGAGTGGCGTGTGTGTTGGGGGGGCGGGGCGGGGACAGATGGAAAGAAATGTACAAAAATTGGGAGCTGCTTGGTGAACTTAGAAAGTTAGCATTTATTTATTCCCTGTAAATGGTCCATTGTTCTGAGTTGAAACTCATGGAGTCACCTTATTTATTTATATCTTAGACTCAGAGAAAGGCGTGTTTGTCACTCTATGCTTTCACATTGTTGCTTTTCTCCACTTGTTTTCTTTCTTATGACTTTCTGTTGGTGATAATATATTTGAGGTTAAAGATTAATCAAAGCGAACCCGTTTGACTCACATGGAACTTGGACATAGCAATCCCATAAATGTTGAGAAAGTAGAATGAATACATTGTAATTCCCTTTTTTTAAAAAAAAGGTATGCCTTATATGCCATAATTCTGAAAATACCAAGGTGAAACTTCAAAGGAGCCGGGAAAATCAAGTGCCTCATGGTTGAGTAAGTAGGCGAAGTGCAAGGTTGTAAAAGCTTGATTGCAAAGACCGGGGTGAACAGGGGTCAGAAATCTTCACTGAAGTGCCCCAAAAGGGGCTCCGACACTGTCGCTAGGTTACTAACAAGAATTTACAGTTCCTGTGGCCAAAAAAGTCGATTTGCCTGGTTTGCACATTGCACCTTCTGGGGGGCAGCTGTGCCTGTCACCCTCCCTAGTGAGTGACAGGAAGCGGAAGTTGGCATCCACCCTTGTGTCCTTAGGCTGAAACCTGGCCAGCTGCCCCATTATGTTACCTGTTGGGGCACCAGCTATTTTTGGTTTCGGTCACTTTGCCCAAAAGATAAGGAATTTCAGGAATTTTGCTCAACACCTCTGAAACAGACTCCCAAACAATGGGCCTTTCATGGAACTCTAAACTTGACATTCAGAGTGTTATTTTAACTTGTTTTCTGTTAGTTCAAAGCATGGAAGCACTTGGCTCCTGGGGAGGCTTTGGACTGGGGCTGGGGGAGGTGCGAGACCGTCAGTGCCAAGGCTGCCAAGAGCACCCTGCACCGTGACCTTTATGTAGAAATGCAACTCATTTTAAATGCTCTGGTTTTAGTTCTCACTTTTAGTTCTGTTTTCACTTATTTTTAGAGCTGCCTTTCTTTGGCCTTTGCTTCTCAAGGGCTGCCAGCCCTTCCCTGGGGTCGGGGGCATGGGATTTCCTTCGTGCATACCTCGGCTGACACAGCCTCACTCCTCCCTGTGTGGGTGTTCATGAGAACGAGGAGCCAGTGCCTCTGAAAGTGCCCTGGAAAGCCAAGTTCTACAGAGTTGAAAGCCGTTTTAATCACTAATTTGGAGTCTTTTTTGGTGGTAAGAATAATCACTGCTTAAAAGTGAAATTAGTAGTATTATCATGGAAAAATGTAATACAGCTGATGAAGTAGCTAATTATCTGTCTGGAGGGGTTGTTTTTGCGGTTTAAGAATATGGGGTTGGATTTTTTTTATAAACATGAGGAGTAAGAAGTGAGAAATAAATATAGCACAAGCTGACATGGAAGGAAGAAAATTCAAAAATTGATCTCTGAAACCAGGTACCTAAGGACGTTTCTGGTTGGTCCGCCCCACTGGTGGCCCACAGCGTTACTGGTAGCGCAGGGACTGAGGACGTGGGGACGCAGATGGCATCTGACACTGGCTGCGTGTTGTAGCCCTGCGGCCCGGGAAACCACGTCTAAACTGAGAATCACAATGGCCACTGCACAGCAGGGGGTGAGGCTCAAGTGGAGACAACCACACAGAAAGGCTCGCTCAGTGGTGGGCAACATTCTTATCAGAACTGGTGCTAATTATCCAATTGTCGTTAATGAAAACTACTCCATCCATTGAACGTCTGATGCGCAAGGTACCGTGTCAGGTGACACTGGGGGACCCAGGGGACAGCTGTAATACACAGCTCCTGGCATTGAGTGGTTCCTGTGCAATTTAGAACCATACGTTTTAGGTGACAAGGTAACCAACGAAACAATATGTGGATAACAGATGACTGGGGAGATGAAACAGTCGCTGTTTTGTAGGATGTTCTGGAAAGGTTGCCCAAGGAAGCTGGCCCTTGAATAGTGTAGGTGGGCGGAGAGAATGAGAGGCTATTCCACCAAAGTGAGGCCCACCCCAGGGTCCTTTCCCTATCCTTCACTACAGGGTATGGCGTTACGTGTGTGAGTAAGAAAATGGTAAGAGTTTTGGCCTTGCTACTTAGCACCTGCGTGACCGTGAGCATCCACCCACCTTAAAACCCGGCGTGGCCTCTGTGTGGTGGGTATAAAACTAGGCCAGGGGTCGTTGCTCTCTAGTCTCCCAGGGAGAAGAGTGCTTGGGGGAGGACACATTGAACTCCACAACACTGGCTCAGTATTGGCGACAAATCCCCACTCAAGTGGCCCTTCTTGTTGACAGGGAGCCCCAGGTTGGTTCTCTCCAGCGACACCAGTTCTTTGACTTTCATGACCGTCGTTCATTGTAAACATTGGATGCCATGCTGTGAATATCATGGAAATCCACTGCAAAGTGAAACTTCAAGCCTTGCGAGAAACCTAGTATTTCCTGCCAGCCAAGAAACTGGTTTTGAAGATTTGCTAACAACACGTGCAAACCCGTTGATAAAAGTGTGCACGTACCCGTGTGCATCCGTGAGTGCACGGTCCTTACGAAACGCTCACTGAATTTCACCATTCTCAGCACTTTGCACAACTCCCTCCTCACTCCAGCCGTATGAGGTGCTTGTGATCATGGTCCCCATGGCAGCCAGGGACGGAAGCAGGACTCCACCCCGCCCCTGCCTCCCCTCGGGAGTGGTCCAGTGACAGGAGATCGGAAAGCAGCGTGGGTCCAAAACAAAGAGAAGTTTCCCTCCTGAAAACCAATACAACCCGCCAACTGAGCAAAGCAGGCCACACTTAGGACCTGGGCCTCTGGGGTCAGACTGCTTGAGCCTCACCGCCTGTTCATTGCGTGACCCTGGGCAGGTGACTCAGCCTGGCTGGTTGCAGTTTCCTTATCAGGTCCAGATAATTAATAGTACATACCTGTACGGTTATAGTGGGGTGATCTGATTAAGATGCCTGCAGGTGTGCCCGACAAGTAGAATGGACTCCGTCAAACACTGATTTTCCCTGTAACTAACATTTGGGGTAACGGCTCTCTGTATGACCATGCTCCAAAAATGAAACATGAAGGTTGTCTAGTGTTGTTCTCCAGTTTCGAAGTAGTGAGGCCAGAGGTCATGTAGCGACCAGGGAAATGGAGGGCATTTCCCCAATGGAGGGAACTGGAGAGCATTCAGGTGTGGAGTGGGACGGCGCAGCTGTGTGTTGGAGTGCAGGGTTTTAAGGCAGGAGTGAGGAGATCAGTTAGAAAACACAGCAGCATTAGCCCTGGCTGGTGTAGCTCAGTGGCCGAGTGCTGGCTGCAAATCATAAGGCTCTCCAGTTCAATTCCCGGTCTGGGGCACATGCCTGGGTTGTGGGCCAGGTCCCCAGTAGTGGGTGTGCGAGAGGCCACTACACAGTGATGTTTCTCTCCCTCTCTTTCCACCTCCCTTCCCCTCTGTCTAAAAATAAATAATACAATGTTTTTAAAAATAAAAGAAAAGAAGAAGAAAGAAAACACAGCAGGTTTAAACTGCCCCCTTTGCAGCAAGTGGGAGGAAGGACATAGGTGAGCGGCTGCTGGAGCATTTCCGTGTGGTTATGGGCAGAGGACAGTCAGCCCTTTGAGAGAGGAGCCTGGGTGCAGGGCGGGGTGAGCTGGTAGGCAGGAGGGGAGGGAGTGAGAAGTGGCTTATTTCAGCTGCTGTCACCTGCCCGGCCTGGCGCCACCGGCCTGCGCCGCCCAAGTTGCGCCTGCGCATTCGGTGTTTTGTGTCCAGGGGCTGGGGGCTGGGAAGTGAGCATCTAGATCAAGTTTCTATAAAGTTTTCACTTTTTGCTCTATTTTGAACTTCAGGAAAGCCCTCCTCCCTCCTAAAATTTCTTCATGAGTTAAAGTACCTATGAGCATTTTTCAAATGTACGGTTCGAGAACAGTTTGGGGGCATATGTCATCTATTTGAGAGATTCTTCAATACAGTCGGTAGAAAAGACTGTGCCTCCGGGTGAGGACCGGCCTTGTAGAAGGACACAGTGTATCGGGTAAACTCGCAGGGACTTGGGACCCTGCCTGTGCTCCCTCGGGAGATGGTCCCAGCCCCTTGAAATCGCTTTCCCATGAAGAGAAGCAGCCGCAAAGAGGGCTGCGCTGTACCACGTCTGTGGGCTTCCAAAGAAACACTCGCGACTTGCGGCACAAGTGACCCACTAGCGGTTAGGGTGCAGGTGGTGTACGGAAGGTAAAATGGTAACACTGAAGTTCATTCTTATGTATTCTGTCCACTGCCTTGAAGGCTACTGAAAATATGAAGGAAAAAAATGTGACTGGAAAATGATAAAATAGTTATAAAAATATATCGCTTTTTTTTTTTTTTTTAAGTTTTGCTGCTTGAGAAGATAGAGCACGATAACTTCTGCAGGAAAACGCTGAAGATCACAGACTTCGGCTTGGCCAGAGAGTGGCACCGGACCACAAAGATGAGCGCGGCCGGCACCTATGCCTGGATGGCCCCCGAGGTCATCAAGTCTTCCCTGTTTTCTAAGGGCAGCGACATCTGGAGGTGAGCACCCGGCTCTTCTTCGCTTTGCACCCCTCTGCAGAAACGGGCTGCTCTGTGTCCCGGGGTGGGGGGGGGCCCGAAGTATTCAGTAGTTCTGAGCATAAGGGGCAACTTATGGAAGAGGGTTTGGAGGGTTTGGAAGAGGGTTTTAGAGTTTTGATCATAGGATCAGAGTGGAGCAGGTAACATGAGGTTTTTATTGTCACGACTTCCATTGGATAGGAGAACCTTTTCATTAAATCTGAGGTTTCAGTAAAACCGGCTATAATTGGAGTTCACAGTAATGCCAAGATTTTGTGAGTAAGTACAGTTAAATTTTCACTTTAAGCAAAATTTCGATTCCTTGTGATTCCCTGACAGAATAGTAGCATGGAAGGAGTTTGAGGTAGATGGCATTTTCTAAAGATTAAAGCTCCCAGTTTGAGAACAGAGAGCTGGACCAGATGGGACCCCTGGTTACCTGGGTTTTCCGTTCAGCTGCGTGTCGTCTGGGGGTAATGCTGCTCCACAGCAGAGAGACGGACAAGACCACTCTGCTGAGTAGTTACCACCCACCAGGGGCTTCCTTGCTTTTATCTACCGCTCACAAAGTCCTTTGTAGGGGAGTTTGGCATTCTGAAAATACTGTAAAAGTTAATTGGGGTGTATTAAAATTCCAGTGCTTTCTTTTGAATTTTAATCATTTTATTGAGATATGATTCACATGTCATACAATTTACCCATTGAAATGGCATCATCTGAGGGCTTTTAGCATTTAATACAACACAAACAAATTTTAGAACATTTCTATAATCCATAAAGGAAACCCTGTGCCTCTCAGCCATCATCCCCAGCATTCCGCCCCTCCCAGGCCCCCACTGATGTTCCATTTGTATCTTTAGGTTTGCTGATTCTGGAAATTTCATATCAATGGAATCATACAGTATGTAGTCCTTTGGGACTGGGATTTGTCAATTAGCATAACGTCCTCAAGGTTCATCCATGTCAGAGTGTGACAGAATTCCCGTCCTTTTTAAGGGTGAATAATATTCTCTTGGATGGATAGACCACATTTTGCTATCTGTTCATCCCTTGGTGGGTATTTGGGTTGTTTCTACTTTGGGGCTATTCTGAATGATGCTGCCATGAACATCTGTGAACAAGTATGTGTGAGGGTGTATGTTTTCGGCTCTCTTGGCTGTATATCTAGGCATTTAATTGCTGGGCCATACGGTAAATATGTGTTGAATCATTTGAGGAGCTGCCAGACCACCTTCTAAAGCAGCTGCTGTGCTCCCATCCCACCAGTACAAGGGTTCCAATTTCTCCACATGCTCGCCAACACTTGTTGTTATTTGACATTTTGATTGCAGCCATCCTAGTAGTCACGAAGAGGCATCTCATTGTAGTTAAAATTCCAAGGCTTTTGTACCTCAGAAAACTCAGGCTGAGAGAGGAAATGTCACTTTGCTAAGAGTCCATATCTGAGAAGTGGCAGAGCAACTGCTTGTTGAGTCCACAGCTTTCTGACTCCCAAAGTTGTCACCAGCAACACTTTGCCCCCTCCAATTATTGGGCGCAACAGAACTTACTCTCAGATTCACAGGTCAAGCCAGTGGCAGACACCCTGCAAGCGTAACTTCCAAAAAAATCCTTTAAATTGAAACCTGACCCTCTGCATTTAAAATATAATTTCATTGTGCTTTTGAGAAATTTGTCAACTGTCAGGGGTTCCAGAACACCCTAGGGCTATTTTGAAAACTCAAATGCTGGGCCATACTGCCCAGACTCTGTTTTGGAGGAGACCCATCGCATAGGTCTTCCTGAAACATTCAACATTTTTTTCTTGGTTTAATTACAGTGATTTTTCTGACCATGCGATGCCAAGATATGTAGATGAAATAGGTGATTCTTCTAAGAAATTATACCTCAAGGCTCTAAAAACTAGTGAAATACATCAAAATTTATTTTACATTTAAGATATTACTGACGACTACAACCGGTCCTTTCATGTGCTTCCTTTATGCACTGTGTGATTACAAGCTATGCAGATGCTGTATAATCTATATAAACCCTTCATAGCAACCCTATTATTCTAAGCGTAGGGAAGAATCAAGAGGTATGAAAAAAAATTCTAAAACCACCAAAAATATAGGTCTTTGAGTCTATGCAGTTCTTGGACAGGTTGCCTCTCAAAGCGTGTTTATTTCTAATTCTCAGTTTCATAAGCTGGAATTATCGGATTTTAAGTCAAATCAGCTAATTAGAAGAGGGGAGAGGGAGGCTAAGCTGAAAACAGTAAAAATTGGCAGCTGGAAGCAAAATAGACAGGAAGGAAGAGGCATGAGATGCTATGAAAAGGACTGGAAACGACTGACTCTGGAGCCATGGAATTCATTAGGAGAGGAACGCGTGCTGGGGCCCAGGGGTGTCGGATCCGGGCCGCCTCTGGCCTGCGTGAACTTGTGCTTTCCGCCCTCCTTTCCGAATGTCCCCATGAAAACGATTTCATTCAGGAAATGCCGCTGCCCTCTGTGCAGTGCTGCGGGCTGTGCGTTGGCTGGTGTGTTTACAAACGTGCCTGCCAATCACTTCCTCCTTCCCGATGGGTAGTGTGTTCCCGATGGGTTTGGACAGTGTCTCCTGTACCCCAGTTTCACAGAGTCGGTACCAAGGTACCGAGAGGTAGAGAAATTTCCTCAGCTTGCAAAACCGGCAAGTGGCTGGGGCCCCAGGCCTGAGATGCTGCTCTGGCTGCCGCAGCCCTTGACCTTCAGGCTGCTAGAGCGCTGGGGCAGGGTTTCATGTGTCCCGCCCCCTCCTGGTCGCACTGTACTTCTGATACGCACTGCGCTTTAGATGCGTAGTTCCGCAGAAGCAGTTCCAGTTTCGCTTGGGTTTGACCTGGGTAAGCCCTCCTCTCTCCTTAAACGGTGACCGGGCGTGAATTAGTCATTCTCTGAAACTCCCCAGAAACCAAGCTAAGTGGGCGTATAATTTGGTTCTGGGTTCCTATTTGCTAATGAGAGTAGCAAGGACACTTCTGTGAATTTAGACGGACGTTTCAGTTACCCCAGGATTGCTTTGGGCCCCAGTTCTGAGGTGACTTTGATTCATCTGTGAGTTAAATTTAATTGTTCTTGAAATTAAGAATTTGATTTTCAAGAAACTAAGCAGATAACCTTTGAAAAAGGTCAGTTGCAACTTCATTGTTGATAGTTATAGCATGATGTGATTTACTACTACACTGTATATCCCTTTAGAAAGATTACTAGTCCCCAGATGGGAGGGGGTGGAGGGTGGATAAAAGGGGTGAGGGGACAACGAAGTACAAATGGCTGTTACAGAGTAGTCATGGGGGCGATGTGGAGCACAGCTGAGGGAATAAGGTCAAAATGGAATAACCACGTAGAGAGTCACGTGGCCACTAAACCGATCGGGAGATCGCTTTGTAAGTTACCTGTCTAATCACCACATTCTACACCTGAAGCTCACAGAATGTGGTATGTTAAGTGTAATTAAAAGATAAGTTTAGCACCCAAATTGTAAAGAATAAAGAGTGGTTAAAACTAAATAGGAAGAAGAGTGCTTTGAGAGTGCCAGGCAGACGGTGCTATATTGTATAGATGAGTTAACTCAAGGTCAAGTTCAAGGGTCCTGTGAGTGGGGACAGAGCTGGTGGACGGGCCCCCCCCCCCAAGCTCAAACTCCCGTCTGCTGCTTCCAGGCCGCTGCCACTCAGCGGTGTCCGCTCTTCGGGCTCCGAGGAGGAGCCGGCCTCCGGGCCTGGGGACAGACACACACCTCTGCTGGGGCCAGCAGGGCCCTGGCTGGTGGGCCCCTGCAGCCCTGCCGCTGGGCACATTCTGTTGCTTCCACATTCTTTCTTTCTGAATGCTTTCTGTACACAGTCTAGAGCAGCGGTTTCCCACCTCTTTGATCTCATGGCACACGTAAACTAATGACCAAAATTCTGCGGCACACCAAAAAATACACTTCATTATTTTATCTGACCAAAAAAATAGGTATCATTCTGATGCATTCACTCCAGGCGGCTATTGTGCTGGGCTGTGGCCATTTTTTTTTTAGTTGACGATCTAAGGGAAAAGAGGTCGGTGCCCCTGACTGAACCGTCAGGCAGTGCAGGTTGTGAACGCTCTCGGGGGCACGCCGGTCAAGCGTCGCTCATCCGGAGCCCGGCAGGCACACTGGGAGAGTCTTCAGGAAGTGCCGTGGTACCCGGCGTGGCCGGAGCCTCAGGCCAGAGAGTCGGCAGCTCTGCAGGTGGGTCTGCCCCCCAGGGGGCCTTTCCCAGGGTCTCTGTGATGTGGTGGCCCCACATCTCACGGCAGAAGATGAAAGATTAGAAAAGTAAACAGGACTGTAGGGCTGTATGAGTGATGTTAATAGAAATAAAGAAGAAAGTAAATAGGACTTTCATATGTGCTTATGGGTTTCAGTGTAAAGTCAAGGGAGTAGTTTGGAGTGACTGACTTTTTTGTGTGTATTAGCAAAAGATAATTTGAGTGCACTTCCCATTTTGAAGAAGATAAAGGGGAACTAAGGTACTGACCGATCTGGTAGGGGAGATTAACTATATATAATATGCAAACTTATTTCCAGCCTCCTGTGTTGCCTTAGAGTCTGCGGCGTGGATGCGGAGTAAAATGTGGTTCTTTGGCTTTATTTAAAAAATTGGTTTAGTTGCAGCTGGGGTGGCTCAGTGGACTGAGCACCAGCCAGTGAACCAAAAGTTCATGGGTTCGATTCCCTGTCAGGGCACATGCCTCGGTTGCCAGCCAGGTCCCTGGTTGGGAGTGTGCAAGAGGCAACTGATTGATGTATCTCTCGCACGTGGATGTTTCTCTTCGTTCCTTCCCCATTCTGTCCAAAAATAAAATAAATAAAAAATTTAAACATTGGTTTAGAAGCCCTTCTATACTGTATCCTCTCTCATATTTGTCATTGCATCTGCCTTTGACGACCTGGAAGAGCTGTGAACCTGGGTCGCACCTGCCAACACTGCCAGAGCTTGGCTGCAGCCACAATCCTGGGCTTTCCCCTCCCAGCTCACCTCGTCCTCCTCCCTACAAAGTAGACATGTGATGTGCCACCAGCAGCCCAGGGAGGCCCTCCCGATTTCCGGGGCCTGTTACTGTTAAGCTGCCTGGGGAACACATTCTTAAAATAGCTCCTAAAATAGGAAGTGAAAGTCAGAAAGATAAACAGTTTTGACAAACTATTTAAAAATCCTTCCATTGGCATCCAGCGGTGTGTAGCATGAGATGGACGTAGGGCGAGCATCTTCTCGTCCTATCAGTCCTCACGAGGTTTTATCTGCGTGTGGGAAAAAGGAGGCAGAAGGAGAAACGTCACAGCAACCATGTGACTCTCAAAGAGCGGCCGGCTCTGGCCCCTGCTTGGTTCAGTGTGACGACACCTGAGTTTTCCTGTTCATTACGCAGTTTTCATCCGTGTAGTGAGTGCATGCACAGCTCATTTCTGGGAATGACCATGTTTGAGACACTGACCTCTCCCCTCTGGAGAAGGGCCGCTTTCTTGGAAGAGAAGGGTCTCACGAGCAGCTGGAGGAAGGCACTGATACAGCTGCCCCACCAGCTGTGCCCGAGGGAAGAGCCCGGTCACCCGCCTCACTGACTTTGTGACACCCTTGCCTTCCAGCTACGGCGTGCTGCTGTGGGAGCTGCTCACCGGGGAGGTCCCCTACCGCGGCATTGACGGTCTTGCTGTGGCTTATGGTGTGGCAGTCAACAAGCTCACCTTGCCCATTCCCTCCACCTGCCCGGAGCCCTTCGCCAAGCTCATGAAAGGTACGTGCGTGCCCTGCCGCTGGGCGTCTGCTGGGGCAGGGGGACCCGCTCATGAGAACGTCTATATTTTTTTAACCACAGATGAAATTTCTGTGGTTCTGAGTTTCAAGTGCTTTTATGGACTTGCACTGTTTTAGAGTTAGAAACCTTGTCTTTGATCTCAGATGTCAGGGAAAATTTTGACGAAGTAAGTAATTTAAAAACAGTCCTGTTTTTATCAGGGACTCATTTATGTGTAAAATTCACCGGAATGGTAATAAAGTTTTCACCGAGTAGAATTCACAGACGATGTTGTGTGGGCTCCAGATCTGCCAGTTTAAGTCTTACCGAATGATCAAAAATGTGTTACAGCCTTACTTGGCGTGGTTCGCCCTGACCTTAGGTGTTTGGTCCTCATCTCTTAAACATTAACTAACTCTTCTTGTGAGCAGCCAGTTACCTCAGTTATCAGGCTCAGAACCTCTCTTGTGATTATAATGCATTAGAGACTCTGGCAGCGCTGGGTTGAGTGGTGGACGTCACAGCAGTGAACCACCCCCCCCCCCCCCAGCCAGGGCAGCTTCGGCCCTGACCCTCAGAGCTCATGGTGAGGCATGGAAGGCATATGTCCCCTTAGAATGCCATATGCTATAGATGACAAGAGCCTTGTTTTCAAAGAAAAAAAGGACAGATCCCATGTATGTAATAACAAAATGTCTCATTCTTTAAGAAAATGTTTTTAAGAGCTCGCTACAACAAAATTTTCTAAAAGAAAAACCAAAAATAGTAAACAAATTACTTTATGGTAAAGAGTATCATCAACTTATTTATGTAACACAACAGGCAGGTTTTGTGCTAGACACAGAGGGGGGAAAAATCTAAACTGAATACCAAATACAGGAAATGGGTATTCATAAATTTCTGGGTAACTGAGACTTAAGATTGTTAAGGACCAGGGGGTCCCAAACATCGGAAGTCTGTTTTTCTACCTCAGCAAAGGCTTTTTTCCTTTTACAAGTCAGAACCTCACTATTCATTTATCAAATATGTAGACAGTGTCTGGATGATTTGTTCAACTTCACTGCCAGTATCACCTTCGGGGGCTGGCTTTGTCACGTTTTCTTACACACTTTCCCCAGTGAACCTGGGGCCTGTGACCGGAGAGATGCTGAAAGGTGCTTAGCAATATTCATGAATAATTCAGCAAATATTGTTTGAAAGCCTGCTACATTTCCAGGTCAGAAAGAGCAAGACAGGCATGAGGCCTGCCCCAGAGAGATCACCATTAAAATACTGCAAACCCAGGCCCTGGCCAGGTAGCTCAGTTGGTTAGGACATTGTCCTGATATGCGAAGGTCGTGGGTTTGATCCCTGGTCACACATATATAAGAATCGGCCAACGAACGCAAGAATCGTGGAAGAACAGGTTGATGTTTCTCTCTCAAAAAAAAAAAAAACAAATTAAAAAACATTTAAAATACAGCAAATCAAGCACTGATTCTGAATCACTGCGAGCCTTCTTTTCAGTTTCAAAGGTTGGAATAGACATTGATTTCCTCTGTAAGGACAAATGAAATCATTCCTCACACACACCACCCTTCAGATTCTCATACAGAGGGTTTTGAAACCTGTGTGTTGACGAGGCCTATACTTTGCTTTGTCTTCTCCTGTGACAATGTCAAGTGTCCCCTCCGTGTTTTCCATCACAGCCCCCGCATTGTGCCTCCCTGCCTGGCTGTTTCTGCGACAGCTTTCTGTCCCCTTCACTGCTGTCATTTCTCGGCTCCTTACTGACGCCTGGGCTTCCCCATTGTCCCTTCCTCGGCTCCTGTTCACTTGACTCATCTCAGTACTTCCGTAAACACTGGGTGTGCCGTGAGCACAGGTCACCAGCACTTCCCATGACCGTGTTCTGGAGCTTCGCCGTGAACTTGAGGTCTTTTTTGCAATAGTCTCTTCCCGAGTGCATTTGGAAGTGTTATCCTGAGAAAGACAACGTGAGAATTCTTTAAAGTCTGCCTTACAAGAGGCTGATAAAGGAATGCAGAACTCACCACAGGACGCTTTTACTTTATCTTCAGTTGTTACCGTTCCAAGTTTTAGATTCTGCAAGATCGGAGTTAAAACTGTTCGTTTGGTGTGCGATAATCAATTTTACACATAAGGGCTAGGTCGAAAAATTCAATTTTGGGCTTTCTGATATTAAATTAAAGTTTATATGGACCTGTGAAGCTTGAAACTTAAAAAAATACCCACATGATAAAAAATTAAGACAGTTAAGTATTCCTTGATATGTGTCTGTCCTTTATCGTAAAGGGTATATAGTTAAGAATTCAGCTATTTTTGAGTCTGCAAGTCAGATCCTATCAAGCAACCTGCCCTGTATGATCTATAATCCTTTCAAAATTTTAAGTTAGCTGTGGCCAGTGTGGCTTGGTTGAAGCATCAGGCCACACACCGAAAGGTTGCAGGTTCAATTCCCAGGCAGGGCACATGCCTACGCTGTGAGTTCTGTTCCTGGTTGGGGCGTGTATGGAAGGCAACTGATCGATGTTTCTCTCTCTGTCTCTCTGGAATCAATAAACATACCCGTGGGTGAAGGTTAAAATCAATCAATAAGTAAGTAAATAAATAAATAAATTTAACTTAAAGACAAATAGAAACAGTCAATAAATTTAATCTCCCAAATGTTCTCAGGAGGAATGATGAGAAGCCCCCTCCAGGAATAAAGAAGAGGTGGGTAACCCACGTGCCCCAAAGGAACCAGCCGTGTGCTCCGCGGGGTGTCAGGGAAGTGCTAAGGTCTCTGTGAAGAGGGAACCCACGCTGCTTATGCGTTCTCTCTTCACAGGAGTGAAAGTCACTGGGGGCCAAGAGTCACCCCTCATTGTTTCATCAGCCATCAGTGTTTTCACAGCGTTTTAAATGCCTGGCTTCAGTTTCACAGCAACAATACTAATATTTATTTTGAAAGGTAATCCTATCTTCCAAGTTGAGGACGTGAACAACTTCCAACGTGACCTCTAGGAATAATCTCTAGGAATAACTGCAGGAGCTTTCTACTCTTCTGCAGCAGACTTGAAGGCTGCGGAGAAACTGTGTGCTTCCAGCCACACTGCGTACCTTGTGCGGCAGCTGCGGGTGGGAGGTCAGCGTGCTTTTAAGGGAAACAGTGAACGAGGTGGAGTCGGCCTCCAGAGCCCTGCCCCACAGTGATTTTTGGGCCTGCTGCTGGCAGGGACCCCGTGTGAAACAAAATTCCCAAATCCCTATCAATAGAATTTGTAGTTTCCCACGAATCTGTCAACACGGGCTGATAATGTGAACTCTGCTGAGAAATAGTATTAATGAGATACTTGTTTGTTTCAGAATGTGGTAGTAATGAGATTCTTGCTTCTTTTAGAATGTTGGCAGCAAGACCCTCATATTCGTCCATCATTCGCCTTAATTCTTGAACAGCTGACCGCTATTGAGGGGGCGGTCATGACCGAAATGCCTCAGGAATCCTTTCATTCCATGCAAGACGACTGGAAGCTGGAAATCCGGCAAATGTTTGACGAGTTGAGGACAAAGGAAAAGGTGAGGGACATGTAATGACTCGCCTGGTAGATGTTATGGAAAATGTGAGGCGAGAGCCACCAGTAGCATTATTCTAAGGTGTTTTCAGGCATCAGTATTTATTTATTATTTTTTAAAAGATTTTATTTATTTATCTTTAGAGGGGAAGGGAAGGAGAGAGGGAGAGAAATATCAATGCATGGTTGCCTCTCGTGCGCCCCCTGCTGGGAACTGGCCTGCAACCCAGGCATGTGCCCTGACTGGGAATCGAATTGCGGTTGTTGGGTTTGCAGGCTCACGTTCAATCCACTGAGCTACACCAGCCAGGGCAGACATTAGTGTTTATTGATTCTTGTTTTCCAGCTAAAACAAAACTACTGGGCTTGAAATGTGGAACTGGAAAATAGAGACCATCTTGTGTTCCCTACCCTCTTCTTTTTTCAGCAGACTATTTTAAGTTAAATCCTAGACTCACATCATTTTACCTTGAAAGGCTTTAGCTTGCATCGCTAACTAGTAGGAATTTCCCAAATAACCTTCTTGCCATTATTATCTTCAAAAGTAACAGTTGTTTCCTTGATACCATGTAATGTTCCCCATTCCACAATTTCATTCTGTCTCAGGGGCCTTCTCAGAGTTGGTGGGCACAAGTCAGAATGTAAACAAGGCCTGTGTGCTGTTTCTAGTTGTATCTTTTAAAGGCTTTGTTAGGCTAGCCGCCCCCCCTCTTTTTATCTCCAAGATACTGGGAAAATGTGTAATTTTTAAAACTTTTTAATATGAGTTAAGCTTTGGCTGGTTCATATGTTTTAAGAAGGAGGAAAAATAAAGCTGTACGTTAAAGATGTTGAAGCTGCATTTATATCCCCCCCCCCAACATGACATACAAGAAGTACAAACACACCGAACTGGAAGGCAGACTTGCTGGGAAGTGAGTTCAGTTGGCCCGGTCTCCTTTGACTGATGACAAATCACTGGTCATGGTCACTGAAGAACTCCAAGGTCAAGGCATGGGTCTGTGCTTTGGAAGCAGTACTTGCTTTTTTAAAAGACGTTGTAATAGTAGCGTATTTTGATAAGTCAAGGTTTATTCTGTTGGTCTGAAGTGTAAACTGTTCAAAGGGTTGACTTCTCCTCTTGTGGGTGCAATAAATGGGCTAAAGTACAACATTGCAAGTTTCTGATAAGCATTATAAAGCCATATATATAATTGTCCAGGAAGGAATTTGTATGCCTCACACACTTGTGATTCTAGTAGCAGAGTTCTTTTTAGGCAATAACACTGTGCTAAAGAGTCTGTTTGCTTATTCCAATTTATGACCTTGAAACATGGGATGATGGTATAGCTGAGCGCCATTCTTCCGTGGTAAAGTGACCTTGACTTATGCAGTGTGGCTCTGAATTCCATCTCTAGACTTTCACATTGACTTTAATCCTAAAGGCCCATAGCCAACCTTAATACAAAGGAAAGGGAGGGCAAAGGAAGAAATAGGGAGTTGTGGTTTGAAGATACACACGTAACCATTTCTTGGGCCATTATTTACATATATATGTGTAGATACTGTATATAATACTGTGCATGACATCAAGACAGCCAGTGCCTAAATTCTGCCCTTGAGTAGCTTACTTTTGTTATCTCGCTGAATGGGGAATTAATAAATGTTTGTCGGAGTTAGTCCTCAAAGTGCAGATTGTTTTCTAAAACAAAAGTGAGTTGTAAAAACGTGTCCATGGGGAGACCGTTCTGCACTTCAGTGCTGTCATCTTTCTCCGGCGCACAGATGGTGAATGTCCACTGTGTCCCGGGAACAGAGCCAGAGTCCTGGGACACGAAGACGAGTGTGGCTGCCTGTGCCCTGGAACGGGGTCCTCTGCACACCAGGCTGGACACTGGATCTTGTTGACAAGTTTTTAAAAGGGGGTTCATGGGCTCTTCTGTCAACACTTTTTTTAAAAATATTTTATTTATTTATCTTTAGAGGGGAAGGGAAGGAGAGAGGGAGAGAAACATCAATGTATGGTTGCCTTTCGTGCGTCCCCTGCTGGGAACTGGCCTGCAGGGAACAGGTCTGCAACCCAGGCTTGTGCCCTGACTGGGAATCGAACCGCGATCGTCTTGTTCGCAGGCCCGCGCTCAATCCACTGAGCTACACTAGCCAGAGCCTGTCAACACTTTTAAGCCAAATATTGAAGTCAACTTCCCCACCCTCTTCCCTGCTTTCACTTCCTTTTTTATGTTACTGGAATTACTGTTCTTTTAGGTACTCAGTCTCAAAGGTGCCTGAGGCTCATTACCCTAACCCCTGTCCTCACATCAGCTGATCACCGCCCCAGCATCCTACCTGGTTGCCCTTCATCCAGTCCCACTTCCCTACCTTCCCCCTCAGCACTGCCAGTGAGCCCTCTAAATGCACACCAGAGCATCCTTCTTCATGGATGCTTCTTCATAAGGAAACAACTCCGTTTCCTTATTAACTTCTCTTGCCCTTCCACAGTTAGCCTCACCTTGTCCCCAGCCATTCTGAATTCCTTCCAGGTCCTCTGATGCCACGTCCCTCACTTCCGGCCTTTCTGTATGTCTGTCCTCTGTCGAGAGCACTGTCCCCTCCCTAGCTCTTATTCCCACCTCTCCTTGCTGCACCTGATAAAATCTGGTCATAGGAGCCTGCTCCTCTCTTATAATGGCTGGGCTGAGTCATCATCATCATTATTATTATTTGCTTGTTTAATTGTTCTCAGTCTGCCTTTTCTGCTAAATAATAAGTTCATGAGCTAATGCTACTTCATTCTTGGTCTTTTTCATCCATAGCATTGACCAAAGTACAAAGTATGATACTTGGTACATGGTTGGCATTAAATAAATACATTAAATAAACCTGAGTAAACTTTTTAATATGCCTTCAATTTACCATTAAAGCCTATACAAGCTTTTTACAAATTGCACTGAGAGCTCCCAGCAATCCTGATGATTACAATTACTATTTTAAGTGACCAATGAATTTGAAGTGTGTGAATGTTATGAATCTTAGGCTGTAGCAGAAGCCTATAGCTCGGCTACTTAACCTTTAACCTCTGGGTGTGTATTGTTCCGAAACTCACACACACGCACAAGGAAGTTAAGGCTGATCACTTAGGTATTGTCTGTGTCTGTGGAAAACAGGAAGTGACCCAACACCCAGCGAGAGGGGAGCAGGTGCCTGACCCTTGGTGTGGACGCACCGGGATCCCGCAGGGCGGCTCAGATGCGTGATGACCTTGGGCTGCCTGCTCTGCGTGGGTGACTCTCAGACACAGCGCTGGGCGGGAAAGGGAGATGCAGAAGAAGGTTTACATCGCGCTTTCCCACCGTTGGTGTAAATTCGTACAACCATAGACAACGAAACTATTCAGATGTACCAAACGTCTAACAGCAGAGGCCCGGGAGACCAGAAGGGGACCAGCTGATGGGGGGGGAGCAGCAGGCACGGGGCAGGATTAAAGCCCGACACCAAGGATGGAACAGACCTGAAACACACACTTAGCAGCTATTAAATATTGGTGGCGAGTGTGTGGGTGTTGGCTGTTATACTTATAGTATGTTTTAAATATTTCATAATTTAAATGATTGACATAAAGTTTAGAGAGAAATATGTAAGCTGCAAATTCTTCTCTCTTTTTTCTAAAATAATTTTTTTCAAAAAGTGGACTTAGAGGTAATTCACTCCCTTAGATTTTTCAGGATTTTGTAGGTTTAAAAATCTGAAACACGCAAACGCAGCCTTAGGCCCTGACACTACCAATACACAGTGCTCCTGTAATAAGGACGAATAGTCCTGTTTGACGGTTCAGGGCCAGGCCACCGTCTGGTGTCTGATGGTCTGCCTCCCCAGGCCGGTAGCCACAAGGCAGGAGAGGGGCCTGGACGTCTGGGCAAAGACCAGACATGAACACAGAAGGGGTGGGGGTTGCAGGGCTGCCCTCCAAATCCGATGAGGGAGGGATGATGTTGCATGTTGTTTCAAATTCAGAGGTACAACCTCTTGGGCTCCAGGCATTAAAATCTGGTCCCCAGACGGAGAATGTTCCAGCCTATGGCCTGTTTTTCCCCCAGGAATTCCCCTGGGCCATGGGGGTATCTGTATGGGATTCCAAAATCCACAGGAGCCCCTCCCCCATTTTCACGTGAAATCTTTGGCAGAATGCCAGGATCTAGAGCAGTCTAGGGTCACGGTCAAGACCCACGCCTGGAGCCAGACAGCCTGCTGGCGCTGGGCTCTGCCGTGGCTGGCCCAAGGCTGTTCTCTGGCCTCCTCCCCCTTCCGTGTCCCAGGAGCACTCCCTCCAGGGCAAAGCCGCCAGTTTCCAGCATTAACAGTTAGCCTCAGAACAAAGACATTGGCGGCTTTGAGGGCAGTGGGGCAGGTCCCAGCAGCTGCACCGCCCCCCAACCCCAGTCCGATCGGGTAATACAGGAAAATGACCGGCTGGATTAACTTCTTCAGTCCTGCAGTTCTTTGAAGAGGTATTATCAGTGATACTATAAGTGTGTTTCTTGGAAACTTGAATATGATTCGTGGAGTTAAAATGATACAAAAAAGACTCTAATGGATTTTTTTTCACACTTCCCCAAATTGTTTTCAGGAATTCTAAAATTAGATGTTTTACAGCAAAAATAAAAAAGATTTTGGGGTATTGGGAGAGGACTTTCAGTAATAATAAAACTTGAAATCACAGATTTTAAAATTTGGAAATAATGTTAATAATTGTTATCTTAAACTATTGTGTTCGATTATCTTTAATTAATGACAATCACATTGGTGGAGATATAGCTAGTGAGCTCATTCTTACTTCTCTGGTGGGTTTGGTAAAAACCAAAAAGCATGTTTTTCACAAGTGGATTCTGCTCTTAATCCATGTCGAGGTTTTTATAATAGTCCCTTTGTTATTCTTTGAGTCTGTTTAGCTGTCCTAGTCATACAAGTGTGTGCGCTTTTTCTAATGTGACTTACACAGCACTCCTTGAAATACAGCATTTATGGTGTATTTCAGTTTACAATGTGAGCCTGTACAGTCTTTTTCTCTTTTTTACTCCAAGGTTTCTAACCGCATCTCGTTGCCACAGAGCCTGCTCTATCTACTCTCTGGCTTGCTGATTGCCCGAGGTAGGAGGCGTCAGACTTGGAGTTAATGGTCAGTGACTTGGCTGGCTGAGCTCTCTGTTATTCAGTAAACTGTAGCCTCCACAGATACTGGTTCCTCCCCGAATTCCTGGCTTCTTATCTCTGAGTGTCTGCCTTTGTGCGCTGGGCGAACAGAGTGCCTTTGAACCACTATATGAAGGCATGTCACCGTTAATGATTAACATCTTCACCAGGAGTCTGGATTTGCCATTAGAAGGGCCTGTGCCAGGCAATTAAACATTACTAAATATTACTACTTAGTAATCCTCAGCCACCAAAAGAATTTTCTGTGTGCTTCATAATTTCAAAGTATTCAAAGGGGTTCTAATGCCCCATATGTTTTTTTTTTTTTTTTACAGGTGGATGTTTTAAAATCCATTCAGAAGGAAGAGTACTTAGGCTGTTTTCTTTCTGACCTTATTTTTTTCTCTTATGAAGTCTCAGGCAAGAGATTTTTTTGCTTTTATTCATCACGTTGTCGAGAGGGGATTCACATTTTAGCTTGGGACCGGGGATTAAAAATGGCTCCCCATTCAGTTACTGTAGCAGGAACAAACAAAACCCCTGATTGAATGTACTGTCCTTATCTCTTCCTCATGCCATTTCATTTCACAATAGCTAATTGGATTGATATCAGCACCACTGAAAAGTAATATCTTAACAAAAGGGCATACAGTAATGAGTTAGAAATTGGAAGTGGCTGGAAATTATCCTCTGTCCCCGAATACACTGCAGTAAGATCTCCAGTTTGGAAAACTGGTGGGAGAATGCCACCAAGTAAATAATGCATTCCATAATATTTTTAAAAATATGTACTATAGTCTGTCTTTATTTCTTTTTCAAGCAGTACATGGCAGTTTGCATCTGGCACAATCTTAGGGAGAAATGCCGACCTGCTCTGTAAATAAGCTGGCTGCTGCGTATAAGCAGCAGTGACTTGAATATCAACTGGTCTTAAGTAAGTCATTGCTCCTGCAATTTTGCTATGAAGTCTCCTTAGACAAATACACTTAAAGACTGTTTTAAAGGCTAATTACAGTCCACTTTGGTAGGATTACCGTAATTTCAGAATTTGTGTGATCTGAATAAGTGATGTTTTGTTTTGTTTTTAGAGCTCCTCCTTCTCTCTGTGTCTCTTTTTATCCTCACTCAAGGATGTGTTTGATGACTTTTAGAGCAAGAGGAACAGGGAGAGAGAGAGAAACATTGAACCGTTGCCTCCATTACACACCCCGACTGGGAAACCAGCAACCTGGAGTATGTGCCCTGGCTGGGGATCGAACCCACAACCTTTTTGTGCATGGCACAACACTCGAACCAAGGGAGCCACCGGACCCGGGTGTCTTCTGTCTTTTCTTGATAGTATTGTATTTCTTTGTGGAAGGATAGACTTCTGTTTATTTCCTTTACGATAACTGTACTCACAGCCTCCACTAACTCTTTGAGTCCATCTGTCCAAAGTCAAGGGCTTAGCGGACTCATGTGGCATTGTCATGGGTTCAGCTATAGTTTCTTTTCTGAGGCTCATCTTACAGTTTCTTCACGCACCTATTTTGTTGTTGTTATTGTTGTTGTGCAGAGTGGTAGTGATTGTATACAGCATGCTGTGTTTGCACAGCGCTCAACGCTCACAGCCCCAGCACCGCCTGAGAAGGTGGGGTTTCTAACTGGGCATTTGGCCTTAGGCAATTGCAAGGTTAAGTGCGTTGGGAGCAGTGTCAGGACTCATTTGCAGGAGCCTGGATTCCCGCGAGGCGAGGGTCTGTAGCCTGTAGCCGGGAACTGGAAGATACATCTTGCAGCAGGAACGGCAGTGTTTGCCTCTGGGAGAGGATGGAGCACTTGGCAGCAATGGAATTAGGAGGGGCTTTCAAAAACATGGTCCAGTTCTCAGTCTCCCTCCCAAGTACATTTTTTAAATAGGAACACAAGTGCATACATTCCTCAGTCCCTAGATTTTCTCTTCCTCAGAACTTCAGTAATTCTAAATCAAAAGCAGGAGGAAGTTAGACTTTAATCAGAAAGTACTGTGACAAAGGGACTTATGTGAGCTTGCCCGTGACACCTGTGGATGAAGTGGGACTTGCCGCCCATCCATGGCGTCCTGAACAGTTCTTTGGGGATCGTTCTCATTGGCCTATTGCAGAAATGTCTCATGTTCACGTCTGATGGGCCTTCCACTGACTCCTGACACATCAGTCCTGTTCTTTCCCACAACCTCTCCCCCAAGATGCTTTCATCTCTAACGGATTCCTCAACACTCTAAGAAGTCTCTAAGTAAAGGAATCTGACCTGCCATCTTTTGTAATATAATCATCCTTTATGGAATGATTATTCCATATGGAATAATCACCCTTTAATTGGCCAAGTTTTCACTTTGGGTTTATTTTAAACTGGATCGCATACATCTATCTGCACTTTGTTGCTATGTGTTCATGTGTGTGTTATGTGTCAGGTAATCATACAGGCAAGAGGGAGAAATGTTAAAATCGAGTTAAAAATAATAATGATGCCTTTTAGAATCATAGAACTAAAGCGGAAGGAGGGGCCCATAACACACAGGCGTTGGTTTGGTCTGAGCTGAGGATGTGCCAACAGGTCTCTGTCCTGACGGCCCAGGGCCACGGCCAGCAGCCAGCACTGTCCTGTGTGGCCTGCTCGGTGGTGATGCTACTGTCCCTCTGGTCCCAGGAGCTGCGGTCCCGCGAGGAGGAGCTGAGCCGAGCCGCCCTGCAGCAGAAGTCACAGGAGGAGCTGCTGAAGCGGCGGGAGCAGCAGCTGGCAGAGCGTGAGATCGACGTGCTGGAACGCGAGCTCAACATCCTCATATTCCAGATGAACCAGGAGAAGCCCAAGGTCAAGAAGAGGAAGGGGAAGTTCAAGAGAAGTCGCTTAAAGCTCAAAGATGGACATCGGATCAGTTTACCCTCAGGTATGACTTTGTCTTCATGTCTGCCAAGGCTCTTCTTGTATGTCACCCTGTCATCAGCCCCTTTGTGTGGTCAGGACTGGGGAGAGGAGGGGAATGAGATTCCCAAACATTGCACATCTTCAGTTGCTTCGTTTAGTTCATGGCCACCGTGTGATGAGCTAATGGGTTTCCATGCATGAAACAGCATCGGGTGAGCCTTGGGGTGCGTCGCAGGCTGAGGGTTCGCCTCTCAGAGAACTTTCTAGTATGGATTCATTGATCTTCGACTTTGAAATCAACTAAGGTCCTTTGTATTGCTTGTGCCGAACCAGGACCGCAAGGCCCATGGAAGTCCAGGACCATGATTGCTGTTTCGCCTTTAAATTTATGTCCCCACAGGATGGGTCTGTAGTGTCCCTGGTAACAGCTCCCTCAGGACCCGGAAGATGCTGGTAGCACCTTCAGTGAAATCTACCAAGCCCTTTAATCACTTTCCTCTGAGGGTTTAAAGTCCTGTGGGTATAAAAATGAACCAGGACATGTAGGGAATATTTTTAAAATATTTTTAAATCACTGTGATGATAATATAAAGGGATTACGCGTGTTAGGAGAAGCTAAGCAAAATAAAAAATAGCAAACCTATATTTATGAAATGAATTCTTTAATGTTCTGTTTTATACTTGGTTTAAGGAAGGACCAAATGCCCTCCATATTTTGTGATTAGTTTTTTCTAATAGCAGGGAAGAGTGGAGGCAGAACAAGGCTGGTAGAGCTTTAGAGGATGCGTGTTAATTATCTTCCTATCTGTACTGATGTACCTGTTTATTTCTCTATGTACGTTAGGTGTATTGGAGTGTTTAATGGATTCTAGTGTTCTAAGATATTGGTTAATGTCACACAAATTAGATTTAAATAATAACAACAGTTAGGTTTTATAGAAAGTATGTATAGTTGTCCTGTGAAAATGCTTATAACCAAAGACTGGCAGCACATGTAGGGCTTTGTAGGTTATTTCAGAAATCCCCAGGTGACCCGCTGATTGCTGGCATGGGTCATCATGAGCGCACACCACACATTGTTGACTCTTTGGTTGGATGAGGTGAGGACAGGCTAAGGCCCCTCTCTGGGAGAAAGGCTCTTTTCCAGGCTCTCTTCTGACGTTGGCTTTCGACTTGAAGGACCCCCAGCTGGACTGTCTTACATGTCAGAGATGATGTTATTTATGGTGAGACTGCTCCTTTCAGGGTTAGATGATAGGAAAAATTCAGAGAGGCACCTGATGTGAGTTTTCTTCGGTTCTTAGCGACCGCCGCTTTCTTCTGTGTTGTGACTCTGTTATCATCATTAATAGTCATTGATTCACTTGGCAGACTTGATGGGGGGCAGGGATTAGTGTCTCTCCTCCCACCATTTGTAGCCTGTGATCTGTCACTCAAGTGCCTCGGCCCAGTTCCGAGTTCTAGTTCTGAGCCTGGCAAGAGCACACCTGCCTTCTGCTCTGGGCTGGAGGCTCCTCCTACTAAAAAGAAGGAAACAAAAAACTCATGGAGAATTTGCTTCCATAATTTTATGACAGATCATGGGGCCCCACTCCCCACCACCCAGTCGTCCTCACATCCCGAGGACCCGTGTTCCCTGCTCTGCCTGCTCACGTCTTTCTTAATTTCTCACTTGCTAGATAGAAGGAGCTCCCCATCTGGTACTTCGTTTCTTTTGGCCTTGTCTTCCAGATGCCCCTCCACCCTGCCACATGATACTCAGCAATTACCTGTGAGCACCAGTTTGAACCTATTGCAAACCTCGTGCGGTTTTCTCATCCAGCCAACACTTGGGGATGTGCCATGAACCAAGTACTAGGAATGGCAATAAGATAAACATGATCTCTGCCCTTGTGTTACTGAAAGTCTTAAACAGGGAAGATATCTGTCCAGCCAGGATTGACGGCACCGTTTACGTGGGAGGCTCTGGGCCAGGGTGGACTGGGATGGGGTGCAGCTGTGCTGGAGGCCAGACGGCCTCTGCCCGAGTGGAGCCAGCATCGTATAGGGGGAGTGGTGAGCCTTAAGCTAATCATTAAGCATATACTTATTTTCTTGCTGTAATTATTAACTGCTGTGGGGGAACATGTCCATGGTTAGCAGAGAGATGTGACCTGGTTGAAGATCTGAGAAGGGCCCTTCTTTAGAGGTAAACGATGGAAGCAGGGGTGTCCCACCTTTTGGCGTCCCTGGGCCGCACTGGAAGAAGAGTTGTCTTGGGCCACACATTAAACACACAAACGCTAATGAAAACTGATGAGCAACACAAAGGTTTTAAGTAAATTTACAATCTTGTGTTGGACTGCATTCATAGCTATCTGGGCCCGTGTAGGCTGTGGGTTGGACACCCGTGGGAGAGTCAGATACAGAGTGAGGGAGCCTTTATTACATCCTGAGCCCTGTGCTGAGGACCATGTTTTGCCGTGTATAATGCACACTTTTTTGCCCAATCTTTGAGGGGAAATTAAGGATGTACATTATACACGGGTATAATGATTACATACCATGGGTACAGTAATGGCTATAATAATCCTGTACATAATACATACAAAACATGGTTGCGCGTTATACATGACAAAGTATTTTCTACTTATTTGTATTTAATTTTTCCTAGCTGTCCTATGAAGTAGGAATGATGATTCTTTCCCACTTGAGACAAAGAGGCTCATTTGCTTTCCCAAAATCCACAGAGCTAGTAAGTGGTAAACTGGGGTTTAAATCCAAGTTTGCCAACTCCAGAATCTAGAATATGAATTTCTCAACTATAACTATGAGAAAGGAGAATGCATGGCCCAGCATTTACAACATAGTTGGGATTTGATTGGCTAGGGAGGGTCAGGGAGAAGACAATATTAAGAAGACTTTTCAGATTTCTAGCATGGATCACCAGGTAGCTGTCTTGCCTACCGAATTCCACTTCCTTATTTCAAATATCAGGTGGTTCTTTAAAGTATAATTTTTTAAACAGAACACTAATTTTTAAAAAGATTTTATTTATTTATTTTTAGAGGGGAAAGGAAGAAGAAAGGGAGAGAAACATCATGTTTGGTTGCCTCTTGTGTGTCCCCTGCTGGGAACTGGCCTGCAACCCAGGCATGTGCCCTGACTGGGAATCAAACCTCGATCCTTTGGTTCTCAGGCCCGCGCTCAATCCACTGAGCTACACCAGCCAGGGCATAAAGTATAATTTTCAGAAAGGTAAACGGTAGTTCTCCTGCAAGTGTGAAATGAACACGTGCCAAATATTTCATTCAACTCACTGATTAAGGAGGGAAGCAGATGAAGTGGGTTCTCGTAGAGTTAGAGGAGCCAGTTCCTTAAGGACCATTTCATAAAGGAAGGTTAGGATTGGAATGCTCATTTAAACGCATGCCTGGTTAATGCCCAATACAGCAATAAACCGTAACCTTTCGGGTTGTCTTTATTTGCCAGACGGAAATAATTTGCATCATCACCAGACAAAATCAAAAAGTTAACCTCTGCCCTGGCTGAGTTGTAAACATATTTCAGTCAATCAAAGGTTAAGGCACTGAAAGAACACCCAGTGATTTCTTCCACCGGAGTCTGAGATTTTAGGATTTTTCTTTTGTCAGTTTACTAAGTTTCTCAGTCTCCTTTTCCCTCTGGTAACATTAATCTCCCTCTCATATATCCCCCTGGTTCTTTGCGTCTCTCTGTCATTACCCCTCTTACAGCCAGGTGATAGACACTGCCATTCCTAGAATGTGTGACTACAAAATACTTTCAACTGGAGGAGGGGGAAAAGTTTTTCTTCACCCTCTTAGGGGCCTTGGCTGGTTCTAAAACTTAAACTAACAAAGACACCAATGGGGGGAGACAAAAAGAAAAATCTATTTCATGTAAATATTCTGTGACACAAGAGCCTTCATAAGGAAATGGAAGCCCAAAGCAGCAGTGAGCCCCGAGTGTTTCGGTGTGGGGTGTGATGAAGAGTGTACAGTTGACAGGCACTTAGTAAACTCCATTTCTCTGTGTGTGTGGGTGTGTGTCTCCACTGTACCCAACACAGATGCTGAATCATTACTGACCTGAACCCTGACTGGCAGATGCATAAGAAACTAAGGACCTGGTTCTGAGCTATGCTTCATTCTTACTGTCTGGCCATGTTGGCTTGTATTGCTGCATGCTAAAGACTCAAAACCGCGAACCCTCAATTCCTCCTCTTTCTCCTGCCGACCAGATTTCCAGCACAAAATAACCGTGCAGGCGTCTCCCAACCTAGACAAGCGGAGGAGTCTGAACAGCAGTGGCTCCAGCCCGCCCAGCAGCCCCACAGTGATCCCTCGGCTCCGGGCCATACAGTGTGAGTTCCCTCCCCGCCCATGGGCTTCCCTGCGCCTCTGTCATTAGATCTGCTGAAGCAGACATGCCTTCATAGCTGGCTGTAGCTAAGTGACATTGAATAGGTGTCCCTACTGTTTGGGAAACAAAATTTAGTCTTATATTCCTTAACCTAATTTTCTTAACGTGTAGTATAAATGCTTAATTTTTAGTGGAAAAATGGTTATATATATATGTTTTATACACACATTATATATTATTTTTATCTGCACCTCATTTTTTATGGCCATAGAGGGTAAATGTCATAATGTTTTGAATTGTGTTTTTAGAACACCTAGTTTTTTATGGGATTGTGTTTCTAAGTAGTGTGTGGTAATAACAGACATTTTCCACAGTGATTCCTACATCAGTTGTAAGTGTGTGGAAAAACACCAGCCCTCTGAGAATTTCAGGTTTCAGGACACATGTTATGATGGTGGGCACGCACACCTCTTCCCTGGTGTTGAATAGAATCGAATGGTGCAGAAGACGGCCACACAGCCTCCTCTCACTCCAGGAACCTGTGCCTTTGCCCACCCTTGGCATGTTTCCCAAAGCAATAAGTATCATAATGCAGCGGGTAGTAATCTTGGAGCTCTTATTTTTCCAACGAGTTGACTGATACACAGTGAATTTCAGTAACGCTCTCCCATTGCACCCAGTCCTGCTCATCAATCTGCCCAGCAGATGACACTAAGTGTAGGGATGGCGATGGGGTGGGGGGCCAGCAGAGACCCTGGGCCCAGCCCCGAGCACGAGGATGACAATAGGGAATGTCCACTGCACACACGCTGTGTGCTGGGCACCGTTCTGAGCTATTCCCATGCGTTAGTCTGCTTACTTCTCAAAACAACCTCATCAAACGGACACTTGCCATTCCGAATAGGCAGACCTGTTGTGAAACGTGACCGAACCCGGCAGCTACGGAGTGGCACAGATGTGTACGGTGGAATCAGAGAGGAACAGGCCGGCAACTTGTATTTCCAGGAGAGCACCAGAGCAGAGCAGGGAAAGCTCTAAGTTGGGAGGAGATGAGACATGGGTTTATCTCAACCACACGATGAACCCGCAACAATCTCTCAACTTCAGTTTCATCTTCCTCCTCCTCCCTTGGGTTGGCTCTTCTGTTTCCGCTTTCGTTGCAGCGTTAAACGTTTACACGTTTTGAGGAAGGTAGTTTTACGAGTTAGATTCATTTGACTTTAAAATTTTAAAATTGATCAGTGTGTGATTCTCTCCATTAGTGATTTCAGATGAAAGCAATAAAACTTGGGGCTGGAACACGGTCTGTCGACAGGAAGAATTTGAGGATGTAAAAAGGAATTTCAGGAAGAAAGGCTGCACCTGGGGACCGAATTCAATTCAAATGAAGGAAAGAGCTGACTGCAAAGAAAGGTGCGTGCATGATGCCTGGCCATTCTGGGTGCGCTATGCCAACATGGCAGAGACTTGTTGACTATCGCATTGGGCAGACTTAACCTTGAAAAGAAATTAGAATAAAACGGAGACATCTGAATGTGATTTTACTTTCTAAGATGAGTTTATCCTACTACATTATTATTTAGTGAAGCCGTTTAAAAAATCCTTGATATATTTCTGCCTTACTTGTGCTTTATTAGCACCTGATTCGGTACGTGGTTCTATTACATGGAAATAAACGTCTTTCTTTTGTAGGATAAGACCTCTCTCGGATGGCAACAGTCCTTGGTCAACTCTCTTAATAAGAAATCAGAAGACCGTGCCACTGACGTCATTATTTGTGGACCAGCCAGGTATGTGCTTCAGAAAATAGAATTTGAGTCAGACTTAGCTTCTGCGTGTTCTAGATTCTAGCAGCTTTGCTCTGATAGCCTCAGTCACAAGGGCATAGCATTTCTTATGCCTTTACTTAAGCTCGAAGTTCTTTCCTGTCCTTTGAGTCTTCATAGTAGAAGACTCATTAATTTGGCTCCACATTGTTCATTGGGAATTTATCACCCTTATTTTTTACCAGAAAAATTAGTATCATAGTTAGTTATGTAGAACCAAATTAATTTATTATAAGACATAGGAAAAATGAAAACATAGACACCTTGAAATTCTGCTAGATTAAGCGAGGATCTTCTGGCTAGTTGCCACCTCTCAATATGAAATTATGTTCAGCAGGTTAACTATGAAAATCTGTTGGTTGGAGAGCAATACGGTGGAATCTCTCATTTAAGTGTCATAATTATTTTTAATATTCAGCATTCCTACTCAATATTTGCACATCAGAAGTTTGAAGAGGAATGGACATTGTTGAAAAATGTCAAGAATTGTTATCATCAAAGAAAAAAATGGTCTTTATTTTTTATTATTTAAATTACAGATGTTTAGCAAAAGGTGTTGTAATTTTTTTTACTTTCTTGTTGGTGCTGTGCTCAATTTTACTAGCACTTTATTGCTCGTTACCCACGTTCAGTTTTCTTCTGTATTTTCATGAGGCCGCGTTTTCAGTGTGAACACCTCCTTAGATACATCTGCGTGCCCCTGACACAGCTGCCGTGTCATCCTGGGTAAATGCTTTCCCACTTACTGTGGTGTCCTGACTCTTCCCCTGTGAAGGCAAGAGCTTTATTGCCAAACATAGTTGGAGGACTAATAAAGATACCACTATAAATAGTACTGAAACTGCCACTTCGGCCCTGGGTGGTGTGGCTCAGTGGATTGAGTGCCGGCCTGTGAACTGAAAGGTCACCAGTTCAATTCCCAGTCAGGTCACATGCTTGGGTCGCGGGCAAGGTACCCAGTAGGGGGCGTGGGAGGGGCAACCAGTCTGCGTATGTGTCACACATAGATGTTTCTCTCCCTCTCTTTCCCCCTTCCCCTCTCTCTAAAAATAAATAAATAAAACCTTTAACCCCGCCCCCGCTACTTCTATAGTTTGTTGTTCATTATTTGCAACTGTCCAGATGAAGGAATCAATCAGAGAAGTAATCCTGCTTTTTCTCTCTGAGACTGTTTAGACCCTGTGAGCGACTCCTCCCAAGGACAGTTAGAGGGATGAAAGGGCGCACTGGGCTGACGCAGTTCACTCCCTGTTAAGTTAACTCTGCAGTTCCCTTGAAGGTTAATGAGCAAAAGGTTGACACTTGTCTGTCATGCCTGAAGGTCCCCTCCCACTGCCCCTTTGTGTGGCCAGATCCTTCTAAACATTCATGTTCCAGCTCAGGCCTTTTCTGACCGCCTTAGCTGAAGTGGGATCCCGCCCCAGCCGTCTAATGTAATACCCATTAGTATTTATTCCTGGCTCTTCCCTGAAATTCTCGTCTTCACTGACACCGGAATGCTTGTGCTCTCTGTCACCTCCAGATGAGAAAGTCAGCTCCATGGACAAGGATTTTTTCTGGTTTGTTCCCCACTCTACTCCCAATGCCTAGAACTGGGCAAGCATGCAGTCTCTCTCCCGAATGCCCAAATCCATCCTAAAAGGGCTCTTTGATCTTATATGATATTGATTATATTTACCTCAGTCTGGGGGCTACCAGTGCTTGTCATGGGTCCCGAGAAGGACTGGGAAAGGTTATGATGGGTCAGGGGAAGTTCATGACCACTTCAGGGGGCAAGTGTATATTGTTCTGATGAGTGAAGGTGTGTGGAATCACACAGGAGGATACACTCAACATGCTTTGAAACCTACTGGTTTCATCTGACTATAGCCTCTCCCCACCTCTTTTGCTTAAACAATGGATGGATAATTAGTGGTTTGTTACGTACACTGTGCGATCAGTTCACCAAAGGGCGTGGTGTGGCTGCTTGATGAAGGCTCTTCCCCAGGAAGACCCCTCAGGAGACACTGTCACTGTGGTCAGGCGCTCACCATCTTTGGGCCTGCTTACGTGCCTGTGACCTGACAGCAAAGAAAAGGAAGAAACTGGGCGCTGCCACTGTTGGGCCTCGGAGAATTCCGAGATCCCGCGGGGCGGGGGCGGGGGCGGGGACGCCGGGGGGCGGGGCATCAGGCTGAATTAGTGTTGGGTGCTACTTAGACAGAGAGTGTTGAGGGGAAAAAGAGCTGCGTCGTCAGTGTCGCAGAGAGGACAGAGGACACACGGAGGAAGAAGGGGGTTCCCTGGGGAAGGGACACTGGGAAGAAGCGGGCCTGTCAGGAGAAAAGCTGGCATCTGGCTTGTTTGGATGGTAGAACACGGTTCAGGTGTAGTAGGAGTCAGTCATGGGAATATAATTAGAGGACTGTCGTGGACTGAATCATGGACCGACTCATGGACCGGAGTAAGCAGTGTGCCTGTGCCATCACTCATTGTTAGTCACCTAAGTGATAAGAGTGATCTCTTCGTCCAGCCTGTAGAATTTGTTGCCCTTGGGAGCTCAACCCTCTTGGAGGCATCTTCCTCTCTTGCAGCGGCTCCCAAACCTGAGCAAAGGCTTCTGAAACGCAGGCTGCCGGGCTCCAGCCCTGGACTTTCTCATTCCATGTCTGGGGTGGGCCAGGCACTGGCATTGCTACAAGTTTCCAGGTGATGCAGGTGGGCCAGCCCGGGGACACAGTTTGAGGACCACTGCTGTGACGTGTGTCTATTCTTTCACACATGGGCAAGGTGTAGGTAACAGTCCCTGACCCTTGCATGTGTGGAGATGAGGAAAAGACATGTTTTGTCCGATAAGCTACAGAGCCTATGGATGCATGTGCACATTTCTGACCCTAGACGACTTTGCTTCAAGAGTAGTTTTATTTCCCCAGTGAGGGACTGTTTCCTGAAGGCCAGGAAATGGCAACGGGGCTGCTTGGACTCCGCTCTGTAGGGCCTGCCTGGGTGAATCCTTTGCTGAACTGAAAAGGACTCCAGCATGCACTTTGATTTAGAATATTTATCAGATTTCAACTTTATTCTTTGTAGCTTTCAGAAGATTTATACTGTAAAATGCTACCACCACTGTGTGTCTGTATCTTTATTCAGGTGCTTGTGAAGAACCAACCCCTCCCACTGATGGAGCAGAGCCTAGAAAACCAAAGCAGACCAAACCAGCCTATGTGGACTCCCCTCTGGGGAGAGATGGCCAGAGAGAGAACCCTCTGGAAGTGGAGAGCTGGGAGGAGGCCTCCTCTGGGGGCCCCACAGCGGTTGCTCCCCAGGTGACCCCCAGCAGCAGTCCGAGCAGGTCCCAGTGGAAGAGGACAGAGTCCGCCCTGTACAGCTGCACCGTGCTGCTGGCCTCGGTGGCCCTGGGCCTGGATCTCAGAACACAGACTACAGAGGAGCCCTGGCCCAGGGAAGAGCGGAGGAAACGCGAGGGGCTCCTTCAGCGGGCGCCCAAGCCCCGCGCAGCAGATCGTCCTCGGCCACCACCCGCGGGCCAGGGGCCCCGGGGCCCAGCCTCGCTGCCCTCACCGGGCGCCCTGGGCCTGCTGTCCAGGCCTTCCCTTTCCACGAGGTGCTTGCTGCAGACGGAGGGCATGGACTCATTCGAGGGCAGTGCACATGGTGCTCTGGACCCCGATGCGCCCCCTGCAGAGGTCTGCTGCACTTTGGGAAGGGGTTGTCCCCAGCCAAACTCTGCACCAAGGTGGGAGTCTGATGGCTATGTGTGGAAACCCCCCTGCCCTCCCTCCTCAGAGCAGACTCAGGGGAACGCACTTCCCTGTGCTTCTTCCAAGGAAAGAGCTGCACATCACCGGCGGACCGTGTCCGACGGAAGCGCTTCTCAGGCCCCAGGTGAGTTGTGCTGTGGGCGAAGGTGCAGTCACCGCTGTGCACATGGTGCGTCACCTCCTAGTCTGGGTGTCTGACAAGTGATTACATTTCCGAGTGGTTCTGTTTCCCAATTTGTTTTCACCGTTCACGGGACCTTCCAGTTTCACCCTGCTCTTTCATGTAACTATCATTTGGATCCTGGGAAAAGTGTAATTAAACTTCAGTGACTCAAACAGGTAACGGCATATTAAAACAGAAACCGCATGTGACAACAACTGCCCTGCGTCCCTCATGGTAAGGAGACAGGTTGTCCAAACTATTGGCCAGTAACTAATGGGAGAGCTGGAAGTAACACTGGTCATCCCCCCTGTTTGTGGCACCTGTGTCCTGCATCACCTGGCCCCACTGCCCAGATGCAGTTTGCAGGTGACCTGTGAAAAGCGAACAGCGCACTAGGTGTGGACTGGGCTGACTGTCACCTCTTTCTGAGAAGGTTGTCGCAGGCCCCTCATAGACCTGTCCCGAGTGCGAGGGGAGGCAGAGTCTGTGGGACTGACCCTCTGTGTTGGGACACGTTACTCTGGGGTTGGCGGTAAAGTGCATTAAGGCAGAAAGCGCTTTCATTCTCTCCACTTCCTCTTCTCGTTAAGTGCTACGCCCAGGTGTGGTTTTTCTAGATTATTCTTCATTGCCTTTAAACAGATGAGTCTGCTAGGCCTTTGTAACACAATGAACGCTTCATGCTTTATCACTGTGCCAGGAGAAATCCTAGCACAATCGTCCCATAGGCAACTGTTCTTTTATTTTTATTAGATTTATTGGGGTGACACTGGTTAATGAGGTTGTACAGGTTTCAAAGGTACATTATATAGGTTTTTATGATATGTGATCTATAGGAAGCCATTCTTTTTGTTTTAATTTTGTAGGCCTATAATTATTTGTTAGAGTGGTAATAAGTCAGTTCTCCAGAACAGAAAGAGAATAGGTAACATGGAAAAACGCTATTCTTCTTTATTTTCATGAGTTTTGTCAAATAATAATCTGGAAGTGACATTTAATCATATCAACCATCATGTTTTTAAACCCTCACTTGAAAAAAAATCCCGACCCAAGGGTAAGATTACGGATGAGATAGAGAGTTGGGGCAGCAGAGGAGAGGGAGATCAGTGTGAGAAACTTGGCCGGTTGCCTCCTATCTGTGCCCCAACTGGGATTCGAACCTGCAACCTAGGTATCTGCCCTCACTGGGGATCGAACCCACAATTTTTTTGTGTAGGGAGTGACACTCCAACCAACTGAGCCACCAGGTTGGGCTAAGCATCATTTTTAAGTCTCAGCTGAGTCCCGGTCCCACCCATCTTGGAACCCGCCCTGTGTGTGCCGCGGTCCCACTGGTGGCTGGCCCCACTGGTGGCTGGCCCGAGCGCACGGAGAGGCAGTCCAGCCCCAGTCACAGCTGTGGTTTCCATAGGGGAAGCCCTCTCTCCAGCCTTGCTGTACTTTTTCATGAGAAACCAAACAAGCCCATGTCCTGACAGTTTCAAAAGCTTCGGGATCAGGATTTGTTTATGGAAAGGCCCTTTAAAGCGACTGCGTCAGTGAACTGTCTTTGTAGTTGTTTTTCTCAATAAGGTTTGTTTCAGGCGTCGCTGTCTTTCTGACCACACACTGTCTCTTTTCTCAACCAGCTGGTGCCACCAGAGTCCCTGCGCTGCCCCCTGAGCAGGCCTGGGGGCTGCCCCTCGCCCTGTCCTGTCCTCACAGTAACGTGACACACGAGGCCTCACCTGGAAGACAGACAACTGTCACCGCCGTGCCTCTGCCTCGAGCCCCACCCCTGAGAGGCCCGTCCGACCCCCCCCAGGCCCCCCCAGGGAGAACAGAGCCTCAGCCACCCCGGGCCAACGCTGGCCTGGGTGACGGGGGACCGCCCCCTCACTGTTCCCTTGGTGCCAAGGACAGAACTACATTGCACGTGCCTTCCTTACTGGACACAGACACAGCGGGCCAGAGCAGGGACTGCACGGTGCCCTTGTGCCGGATGAAGAGCAGAAGCGGCCGGCCATCCATCTACCAGCTGGAGAAGGAATTCCTTTCTTAAGTGCCTTACGTTGTTCAAGCATTTCTTTTTTTAAGGTGAACAAATTAAAACACTGTGTCTACCTTTGAATTGTTTTATGCTGCTGTGTTTTCCAAAGCTGTGGCCATGTTCCTACGACGGTAATGCATGGCTAACTTCTCAGACGGTGGACGTGGTCACTGTAAGCTATCTGGGTAGATGGTTTTTCCCTTGGGAGTCCCACCTGGTAACTTGTACTACACGCCCGTGTGAAGCAGGAAGTGCACAGCAATGCAGAGCTCTGCTGGGAGCCCGTTCCAGGAGCACAACTGTAATGCTGCTGTTCTCCCTATAGCCTTGTCTGCCCCACAGGGCAGTAGTGAGGTCTAGAATCCCCGCCCCCCGCCCTCCCTGCCTTCCTGTGTTTTATGTCTCCTTTCCTTCTCCCGGTTCTTTCTCTATCTCTGTGTCTATCTCTGCCTCCATCTCTGTCTCCATCTCTACCTCTATCGCTACCTCTGCATCCACCTCTATCTCTAGCTCTACCTCTATCTCTGTTTCTCTCTTTCGTGCAACAAAAAGCCCAGAAGAATGATGTGATATTCCTAAGTAAAGGTGTCTGTGTTTTCAAAATGGATAACTAGAACAGACACAATGTCCTGTTTAAAGTGCCTGTACTCAGCAGTAGGTTTATAACACATAAATATTTCTAATCCCTGCCTAAATTGTGCACTATTTCTCTCTTGGAGGAAAATCTACTGAATGTAACTTGAAAAAGTTTTACTGAATGTAACTTATAAAAATTTTAACCATTCAAACTCCAGATTTTTACAAGATCAGTCACTGACACTTGGCTAAGATATGTGTGTACACGTGGGGACTTGTGTCCATGGTCCTTCTGGTGGAAGGACGCTTCCTTCATCAGTGCCCATTTTGTCTGAAGTGTAAAGCCTTTCTGTTTTGTAGCAGAATTTTTAAAAGTTGACACATATATTTTGTATTGTAAACATTCGGGTCCTTTAATTTCATTTTTCTCTATTTAAGTGCAGAACTATCTTAATACATCCAAGTACAGATAGAGAGAGACATGGCCAAGTCACAAAGCAGCGGCACTGTTAGAATTTGAGTCCTATGTGGTCCTTCATACTGAGTTTAATTGTGAGTGAAATGTTGGACATCTGTTGAGATAAGCTGATATGGTGGAAAGGACAAATGTATTACAGATTAATTTCCAATATGGGTTTATAAAACAGATCTTTGAGTAGCAAATCAGGATTTTAAATGATTTAACATTATAAGTGAGCCACATAGAAATCATGTGAAGAGACCACTGAGTTACAAAACAACAGAAGTCATTACCCAAGAGCTTGCAAATTGGTAGGGGTTTCTTTTGCCAAATCTTTTTTGTTCCTCTTCTGTTACTGGAATGTGATTATTCTGATGACAGACCATGGGTATTTACATTTGTCCATAGAATGAAAAACTAAATCACAAATCCCAGTTGATCTGTTATTTACAATTTTACCCTCTTTAAGGTTTATTGAGTAACTGAAATGTCAGCAATTTAAATGAAATCAGGTGTGATAGCACACTTGCCTATAGAAAACATGAAAAATTCTACTTGGCCACTTTGGAACACCTTCGTCACCTTGCGGGTGTGTGCCCAGCAGACGACAAAATGAGCACCTAAGGAATACAGGGACATTTTGCCCCAAAGAATGCAATCTTGTGTTTAAGATTCTTGTAGAAAAATCTCAGGTACTTACTGCCTTTTGTTGGATTATTGTCCATTCTATGATCTGGCTTTACTTTAGGGTGGATGTTGAATTAGGCCATCAATTTGGCCTCCTGAAAAATTTTTCACATTCAAAACTGTGGTTGGCTGCTTTGTCCTCTGTCATTTGGGGGCATGTAACTTCCAGCAGAAATTAAAGAAAATGTTTATTTTATACCTGAAATAATACCTGGGAGAAGTACAGAAACTGTGTTCTCAGTTTGCTTCTCCCAAAATGCCACATTGGGGGAGGTCTGGAGGGGATCCGTTTGTCTCATCCCTCTGTTCCTCTTCCTGTTTAATTTTAGTCAACTCTGTTATAATGAATTTATAAATGAAGCCATTTAGAAAGATAATTGCAAGACAAGGATTCACTCTCACCTGTTACTACAGACAGATGGTTTTCTGCTGAAATCAATTGTACCTTGCGATTTCCTCTTTGTACACTTCGTAGGATCTGGTTACTTATTTCTGAGCCGACTTCCTAGCTCACTGAAAGGTAATTAAACTGACTAGTCCACAGAGAAGGTGCTGTACTGCAGAGGGGAAAGGCCTGGCCCGATGCTGGATTATGAAGCCTCGTGAATGAAAACGATGTTTACATTTGTTGTCTATTTTTTTAATAAACTTTTTATAGTTAGTCTACTTGATCAGTGGCTGTGGTCTTCTCCTGATAACTGACTATATCTTGTATTGGTTTATTTTGTATTCAGTGAAGGAAAGCACGTTAATAAAGATTATTGATGCTTAATTAGCCAGGCATTCACCTGCCAAGTTCATTACACTGAAGATGACTACATGAGTCTCGGGATCAAATACTTTTTGAAAGTGAAACGAAGCACTTCGTGTAAAATGTTGCTTGGTGACACGCACACGGCAGAGTTGCAGTTCCTCATAAGAATGTGCAGCTTCAGCTGCTCTAAAAGCACTTGTTTGCCGCAAGGAGTGAGTACAGCAAAGAAATGTCCATTGAGGCCACAGGACTGTGATTAATGCGTCACGTCAACTGTTAACATGTTTACATCGTTGAATTTCAGAAACCATCCAACATCTGGGGTTGATTCTTAATCAGAGATGAGAACCTGGGTGAATTAGAAAATTAGATCACAGATTTCCTGCAGATGCCAGCACTTCCTGTAGATGCCAGCACCATATGAGATGGAGGGATTGTTATCACCATTGTATATCAACTAGGTTCCCATATAAGACGCCTGTTACTCTAATAAAATGTGTTAGGTAGGCAGTAGTATCCCTGTGTCACTGATTTGAAATAGACACAGAGAAGTCTGGTAAACTTCCAAAGAGCCAGCCTGCAACTGATCAGTGTCACCTATCTGTTCACCCCTCTGGTAACCACACATATGCACAGAAGGTTAGGGTCTTGACACCTGAGCTTTGTCAATGAAACCCAAAGCTGAGGTAGTCTTTCATTGATCAAAAAGTTCAAAGTCCACAGTCGTGTGCATACTTACTTCAAAGCTAATGGTGGGCAGTACTGTAGCATGATTCTTTGGTGAGTGTAAAATGGAATGAAAGTACTTGAACACTCATCTCTAATAGAGCAGCTAAGAAAAATGATCCGTTTGTAAATGGTGAAATTCAGAACTTCAATATAAATGTAAAATTATTGTGCTTAAGCTGTCTGTACTCTCCAGTTCTGAAAAGGCCCCAGCTCGCCATGCACGCACCCACGATGGGTTCTCTGTGGAACATGGGCAGGCAGCTGGGGGAGGGGCCAGGTCCGGAGGGAGGGGGGGCCTGGCCCTTCATGGTTTTGGGACCAGCACCACCTCACCCCAGCCTTCTCACTGGGCCCTCTGCTTCCTGTCCCTCTGTCATCCAGTCCAAACTCCACACTGACCAACTCAACCTTTCTAAATTAGAGGCCTAACCCTGTCACTTACATGTAGAAGCACTACCAACAGCTTCACCCAGCCAGAGAATAGCGTCATCAGCACAGTGTAGAGACTCTGTCAGGCCCCGGTTCCTGCTCCAGGTGAGTTTCCTACCTCACCACTCACTCTGGTCCCTGGGAGTCCAGCTGCCAGCCCCGAGCTTTCTTGCTGGAAGGCTGGCAAGGGCTTTAGCCGACAGCAGTCATGCCCGCTCCCTGGCACATTAATCAGCCTCCCCCAGATCGCATGTGGGCTCATTTTGCAGTTTCTTCGCTCTCTACAAAGGGCAGAGACACAGCCCAGGGTGTGAGGGTATCGTTGCTCAGTGAAGCTTGGACATTGTGTCTCCACTTGCTCTGTCCTTCGACCACGCCTCCCCCCACCTCACTGCTCAGTGCATGCTCCCCTCAGTGCACACACAGTTAGTGACCCCAGTCACACTTACACTTCTTAAATCCCAAATTCATTCCCTTTCAAACTGGGAAGTGGGGCAATTCTATGCAAACAACATGGAGGTGGCCTGGACACCACTGCTGTTCAGTGAGGGGGTGAGGACAGCCCTGACATGAAGCCCGGAGTTTAAAGGGCAGAGGAGGTGGACACTGTGCACGTCCAGATAGCTGCTCTGGCCAGGCTGTGACAGCCGAGGGGAAGCAGCCACTCAAGGGAGCAGCTACCAGCCCTTCTGGGCCCCTGCAGAGACAGATTCCATGAGACAACAGACATTGGGAAGAATAACTTGTATTGTTAGCAGCATGCACTTACGCAGAACCCGGTCTGCCACTGAACAGGCTCATTCTGCTCATGTACAAATGCAAACTCAACAGTGTGCTGCACTGGGTACTCCACGGAATAAACGTGCAAGTAGCCCTACTTATAGGATGTGGAGGTGCATGTACACTGGGCACACATGCACACACCACTGTGTGCTGTGTCCCTTTTGTGCCCTGGTCTTCACACAAACACACAGCATTTGTCTAGGACCTTCTTCAGCCCTCAGCATTTCTCTGGCTAACTCCACCCTGTCTTCAGACCACAGCACACATGTGGCCTTCTCGTGGATTCCCATGTGGAGTTGGACCCTCGCTGATATGATGGCTGTGATGTGGGGTTGCCTTGGTGACATGGGGCTGTCATTATGATCGGCTGCTTCGTCCAGGACAGATGAGGGTCTCCATCTGAGTCCACGGTGCCTGTCCATGGCGTGTTCCCATGTAATGTCCAGTAAATACGGGTGTGGAAGTCAGAGCCATCGTGCTGCCCCTCACTGACTCTGACCACAGAACCTTCCGGAATCCTCCCAACAGCCTGGTGGGGTAGCTGTTGCCTCACACTCCCAGAGAGTTTAGTTGCTCGTTAAGTGAGGTTATTCACACCACAGGTAGTTCCCTCAGAAGCCCAGGTTACTTCCCCTGTAACAGCCCATTTCCACTGGCGACTGGGCCTCAGGTGTTCCAACTGCCTCACAGCTACTGAGAAGATAAAGGGACACCTGTGAGCATTGCCTCGGGGTGGGGCTCACCTGGGGGTGAGTCCCTAGGGGGTGTGCCCCTGATGGTGCTCCTGTGGCTGAGTCTATGGGACTTGAGGTAGGTTTCTCGCTCCCCAAGGGCAGTAGGGCCCCCTGTCACCCACTTCCAGGCCACAGGTTCTTCTGCACTGGCTCCTAAGATGCTACGTAATTCCTCATGAGGAATTCTCCTTAAATATCCAAAGTGATTTTACTTTTTCTGGTAGGCGCACCACGGGAAGAGTGACTGAGAGGTGTTGACAACCAGCATGCCATGCTCTGACCACTGAGGAGCAGCCCACGGCTCGAGGAGGAGGAGAGTCAGATGTTTCAGAGGGTGCTGTCGGGGGGGATCAGAAACATGGGGAAGCACAGGCTGCCCCAACATGCTGGTGATGAGTTTTCTGTGAAGGGAGGGGAGGGAGGACAGAGGCCTGGTGACCATGGGAAAGGCTCTTACTTGTTCCATGTTTAGGTGGCAGCCTGTGCGAGGACTTGGGGCTGAGCAAAGGTGGGTCTGGTCACATGGAAACCCAGGCTGAGAGGGGGAGACAAGAAGTAGACGGTAACGGGCTTCACCAGTGACACAGCAAAGAGGGTGGGCAAGTGTGGGAGGGAGCAGGCCCACAACCTGCTGTGTAGAGCATGGACCAGACCTGTGGTGGTGCCACCGTGTCCATGGTTTCAGCATCACCATCCAGAGGGCGGCATACAGAGGGCCCACAGCTCTACAAGGACGTGCCCACAGCACTCTTGAGTTGCCAGTCTGGGCAGGGGGCATCTCTCTCATCCAAATGGCACTGGTTCAGGTGGCTGAGCTGGACCCAGAGCTACAGGCAGGAAGTCTGGACCCAGGTCAGGACAGGACAGGCATCTAGCTGCTGAGCAGGGAAGCTCTGAGGGTCCCCATGCTCGACAGGACTTGTGGACCCCCTGCAGTCTCGGGCTCCCTGGCAGGCGTCTGGGCTGAGACACCTCTGCTCTGCAAGCTGCACCCCTCCCACAGCTTCTTGAAGAGGTACAGCTGGCCTGGCAGGACACTTTACCTCTGACCAGACTTTGGGGTCTTTCCACGCCAGGGACTGGCACTCCGCTCATGCTGGGCTGTCTTCGCTGGATGAGTTCGGCTCTGCTGCAGGTCACTGAGATGTGTGCACCCTCCCCACCGCCAGGGGAAGGGGCCAGCATCCCTGCAGCTCACAGCCACAGCCGGAGCTGGGGGTGGCCTCTGCCCCAGGCCTGGGAGGGAGCCAGCATCTGGAGGTGAGCGGTTGACAGACTGTGCAGGTGGAGAGCATGAGCTGTTAACCATGTGGCCTGGGCTTCTCCGGGACTTTGCTTGCCCTGTTTACTCACCTGAGGCCAGAGTCCAAGAGTCCATGAAAAAAACAGGTGGCCAGGGTGCCTGTCTGCACTCTGGGGTCACCATGAAATCAGACCCCACCCAATAGGGAGAAAAACTGGGCATTCTGCCCAGAGCAGGGTATAAGAAAACACATGGTCGCTGCACCCCCTTTCTGAAGCCCCAGGCCATACTGAGCCCAGTCCCCTGGTACTCATGGCCTGGGAGCCTCTGGAGGAGAGTGTGGTGCCTTTGCTCTAAAGCCCATTGGAGCTTCTTGTAAATAATACAAGAATATGATCGGGCTGTGCACTGCTTCACAGGACTTCTCTTGGCCTTTTGGAATTTTCTGGAATCATACCTTCAAGTCACCCAGGCCAGCCCACCACACCAGAGAAGCTGGTCTGTTGTGAGCTCCTCTGCAGTGACCCCAGCACCCTGCTATACCCAGGGAGCTCAGTCAGAGGCAGCCCCAGCCCACAGAAGTCATGGCTGTCATTGCACAGTCATTACCCACAGTGATGGGAAGCAGGTCACTACACTGTTCTACCTCCAGTCCCAACCTAACTCCTTGGGGTCACAGGAAATGAGCCTGGCTGCCTTTTCATATGAGCTAACTCTGACTGAAAAATTCCTGGGAAATTCAGAATACAGTTACGGTACCAGAGTGATTCTATGTTCAGGAGGGGCAGTGCTCAGGTCGTTCAGCTCCGGGCAGACCACATTCAGAGACTCCATGCTCTAAGAGGTTCATTCTGAGAAGCACTCCCTTCCTCAGTGATACATACTCCCCAAGCCCATGTTTGTGAGGGTGTACGGTAGGGAAAGGCTATGGTTCAGTGTTACAAGGTCAAGAAGAACAAACACACCCAGAAGGACTGAAATCTGGAATGTATATTCTCATGATTTTTGCATTACTGATAAGAAACATGAACAAAAAAGGATGACATTGGGACAGTTTATAACATGGAGCACCTCAGAGAAGAACCCACACTTACCAGGT